ACTACTACTTGAAACATGTTACATTACATAGTACATCGATTGAACGTATTTCAAGTGCAATAATGGTCCCTTCAAGCCAAGAGAGGCGCAAAAAGTATAATCGCCCTCTTATGCGCATATACCTCTTATGTACCTATTTTTCCATTAAAGAATAAAAAATAATGGAAAAATTAAAATTAAAAATTGATTCGATAAATTATTATTGAGAAAAATTGAATTTATTTTAATATTATTACTAAAAATTATATGTATATAAATAATTAAAAAAAAAATTTTAAAAAACGAATTGCATCAAAAATTTATTATATATACACTGAGAAAAAATTTAATTGAATCAAGTAAATAATGCTTCACATAATTTACTTAAATCAATTTCATATTTATTTGATGAAAGAAATTTATTTTCCCAAGTAATTTTTAGCATTGAACAGAGTAGAATTTAAAATAATATTTTTAATAATAATTATTTAAAATTGAATGACAATCAAGTTATATTTTTTATTTTCTCTATTATTTAATTTTTATATTTAACATTTTTTACACAATTGAAAATTTAGCCCGCGAATCGACTTCAAAACCCCTCAAAAAAAGTTCGTTCAATCCATTCAAATTAAAAAAAAAAAATCGAAAAAGTCGTTTATTTTATTCAAGATTTCTATAAAAATTTGATTTTATATTTTTTGAATAGATTTAACATGTGTGTTAAAAAAAGATTATTTTTCAAAAATTGCAATAAAACAAAAATACAAAATATAAAATTTACTTCTATAAAATTTGACGAAATTTACAATTGTTTGACAATTTTTTAAATACTTTCGGAAATTCAATTATCTTTAAGAAATTTTAATTACAATTTTTGAAAAGAATTTCAAAATAATTTTCAATTATTATTATTTGTTATTTCTATAAAATTTCACGAAATTTACAATCGTTTGACAATTTTTCAAATACTTTCGGAAATTCAATTATTTTTTAGAATTTTACTCAAAAAATTTAATAATGTTTAAAATGGATATTTAAATATTATTAAACTTCCAACATTAACTGAAATTTTCAAAAAAATTTACATTGAAATCTTCTGAAATTTAATTATTCCTAAAAATTTCTTCTACAACTCTTTCAATTTAATTATTTTCTAAAATTTTTAACCCAAATTTTTTTCGAAATCAATTATTTTTAATAGTTAACAGAAAGTTTTTTGAGAATTAAATTATTTAAAAACTACAAAAAATAGTTGGCTTATAATACTATTTAGAATTCAATTTTTTATTTTTGTTCAATTCGAATTCTACAAAATTTCAATTATTCGAAAATTCTTTTAATTTATTGTATTCAATTATAATATTATTAATTAATTATAATAAATTACAAAAGATGATCGAAATTTTTTAGAATTGAATTAAAATAATTGAAATTTGAATTGTATTACATGTAAGATTTTTTTTTTGAATAATTCAATTATTCTCAAAAAACTGCGAATATGTATTTTTAAATATATTTAATTTTGAAATAAATTTGTGTTAAAAATTCTAGAAAATAATTGAGTATAATAATATAATAATTAATTAAAAATTCAATTAATTACAAAAAAAAATTTAATAGAAATTTTTCGAAAAACTGAATATTAATTAGAATTTTGAAATCTAATTAAAAAATTATCTAATCTAATTAAAAAATTCAATTTTAAAAATTTTTTTAAATTTTTCTCTGAATTAATTTTTTTTAAAATTATTTTTAGAAAGTTTTTTGAGAATTCAGTTGTAGAAATACAAAATTAAAAAAATCAATTCCAAATTTTTTTAAAACTTTTTCTCTGAATCAATTATTTTCAATTATTTTTAGAAAGTTTTTTGAGAATTCAGTTGTAGAAATACAAAAATTCCATTTTTTATTAAAATTTCAACCTTAATTTCTTTATGGTTTTTTGAAAAGACAAAATATTAAAAAAAATTTTCTTTTTAAATAATAAAAAATTTTCTTTTTAAGTATTCAAATAAACAAAGAGATAAATTTATTTTTTCTTAACTGTCAATTCTCGATTATTGTAAATATTATTTAACTGTAGGTAATTATTTTATTTAATGCAAAAAATTACTGTATTTCTTTAATTCAGTTCCTTTTTTTCAAAATACAAATTTTCTGTATTAATTAAAATAATTAATATACCTATAGAAAATTTGTATTTCGAAAAAAGGAACTGTTTTTGTTTTAATCTTTCAGTTCCAATTTCGCAGTTATTTAAATAATAATAAGGAAAGATTATAGTTTCTGTTATAGAATATATCGAATGACATTTCATTACTTTATTATGAAGCTATATTCTAACATGATTTCGCTAAAATCTATATATATACGTATGGAAGTGTACTTAAGAATGAAGAGTGTTTTATAAGCGTCATAAAACTAGTATATTTGAAATGAACAATGTAATTTCCTTCGTGTCTATTCAGAAAAAAAGTGCTAAATATATATGTCAGCCCCGCTTTTTTATGCTGTCCTTTTAGAAATATATATGCCAAATCCTCCCTTTCATTTTCTCTTCTGCATAAATTTTCTTTTTTCATTTTATATATTCGTATAGGTATATTAATATTATTCAGTTACATTTGAATATTACATTCTTATTTATGTATGAAGGGGAGAAATTTTATTTAATATAACAAAACGCTATTTCTGCTTTATTTCCTTAAAAAAATTTTTTGTAAAGGCCTCGTAAAATTTATTACACAAAATTTTTCTTAATGTAAAAAAAAGTTTTATCCAGAAACTAATTTGTAAATTATCTACATTACAATTCAATAATTATACTTTGGAATTATAATATTGGTAATTCATTATTAGTAGATAAAATCAATAATTACACTGAAGAATTATAATTAATAATTCATAATTTATTATGATTATATTTAATAAATAAAAGTCACTAAAAGCTACTGTTTATTTTATTTTTCAATTGGCACAACTTTTAATTCGCTAAAAGTTAAAATAAAAAAATTATTCTAAAAAATTTCATTATTTTTAGAAACAATTCAATTATTTTCAAACAATTTTGAAATTTACTTATTTTCAATATATAATAAAATTTTCACTGAAATTTAATTATTTAAAATGGAATTTTAATAAAAATTTTCCAACAAAATCAAATATTCAAAAAAAATATTTTAAATTCTTCATTAGAATTCAATTCTTGTAAGAAATTGAAGAAGAAAATTTGAAGAAAAAAGAAAAAATTCTTTAAGTATATGAATTCAATATTAAATATTCAATTATTCAATAAATTATTTATTTTCATAGTTAAATAATTGAATTTTAGAAATTTCTAATAAGAATTGATTTAAAAATGAATTTCAGTAAATTTCAATAATTTTTAGAAATAATTAAATTTCAAAATATTTTTAAACTTAAATCTTTGAAAATTTCAATTGTTGTAAAACTGTAATAATATTTAAATTTTTATTAAAAAAAAAATTATTTATGTATTATTTCCTTAAAAAATTATTTAAGTTTTGCATTTAATTTAATTGGTAAATTATGGAAAAAATTAGTCTTTTGCAAAATTGTAATTAAAATGTTTTGAGGAATTTTAAATTAAAATTTATAAAATTATTCAATTTTGTAAAAATTAAAAAAAAATTAAAATGTTTATTAAACAAAAAATTATTCAAGTTTTGCATAATATGCAAAACTTGAATAATTTTTTGTTTAATAAACATTTTAATTTTTTTTATAAATTCATAAATTTTAATTTTAAATTCCTCAAAACATTTTAATTGCAATTTTTCAAAACACTAATTTTTTCCATAATTTCCAAATTAAGTTATTATTTAATTTGGAAATTATGGAAAAAATTAGTCTTTTGAAAAATTGCAATTAAAATGTTTTGAGGAATTTTAAATTAAATAACTAATTTTTTTCATCTTTTTCAAATTAAATTATTATTTAATTTGGAAATTATGGAAAAAATTAGTCTTTTGAAAAATTGCAATTAAAATGTTTTGAGGAATTTTAAATTAAAATTTATAAAATTATTAAATTATTTAAAAATTTAGATTTTTCTTTATTAGCAGTATAAAGAAAAGCAAATATTTTTAATAAGAATTAGAAAATCAGAATGAATTTTTTTTTATTTTTGTCAAATTGTCTAAAACGAGTTTTTTTAATCACCAAATTTAATTTTTCAATATCAATTTTTTTACTACTCTTTTGGTCTTTAAACTACTTTTTGATAGTTTTTTTAGAATTAATTACCGAGTGCGAAGCCTGTAATCAGTAATTCTCAAATTAGTAATTTATTTATTACAAAAATGGAAATATTTAATTGATACATATAATGAAATTTATTTCTCTTCAATAAATTTAAATTTATTGCATTTAGAATGAAATGACAATGAATAATAATAATAATAATATTAGTAATAATTAATATGACGAATAAGATTTTGATTTTTGACAATAAAATGAAAGCGCATTTCCAATCAAGTCAATTAAATATTAAAATAACTTTCGCTAAAATTAACATGGGTAAAATTTATATATACAAAGCAATAAAGATAAATCCCGTTGTGTAGAGAGAGAAAGAGAGAAGTTTTATAATACATTCAATTAATTACAATAAAGTGTTTGTCGCATTACATCAACTATATTAAAGGTATAGCATTTCCTGTTGTCAGTGTAATTTATGAAATCATAGTAAAAGGTAGAAATTAACTTTCTGCTAATGATAAAAGTCACATCAATAAACTCTAATAATAATAATTTAAACACTTTTTATGCGAACTTAAAGAATTTACGCGAATTTTAATAAATTCTTTTCGTTTTATTAAACTTTCTTTCTCCAACTATGACAAACTATGATGAGAAATTAATATTATTATGAAGAGAAACATTTTATTTAAAAAAAAAAATTCTTCTTTTTTTTCTTTTTTTGTTTTACTCGACCAGAAAAAAAAAGAAATGACAAGAGGGGGTGAAACGAAGTTGTCAACATTTTCAACTACATTCAATTATTTAACGTGACAGAAATGTACATTTTGACGTAAAAATCAACGGTCTCAATTTAGAAACAAATTTTTTATTTTCTTTTACACAAAATTCCAGTTATTTTAATATGTAAGTAATTGATCTTTCTTGTTTTTTATTTAAAGAAGAAGAAAAACGTTTGTGAAATAATTAAAAAAACTTTTATTTTTTTTTTGGTAAACAGTTAAAAAATTATGGCCGGTAATGGAATGAAAGCGAAAGCCCCAAAAAGAAAATGTGATAGAAAAGGTTGTCATAAAGCAAGAACAAGAAATGGATTTATCATTTTCTTCATGAGATTGTTGAAGTGTATGCCGACTAAATGTGTAACGCACGTTGCGCAAATTGCTGGAAAAAAATGGGCGAAAATGCCAAAGGAAGAAAAATGCAAATTTCTCACATTGGGCCGTAAATCATCGCAGAAAAAGAGTCGTAAACGAAGGAAACCAAAATATTCTTCCTGCAGATCATCGTAAATTTTTACAAGTAAATTAACAGAATTAAAAAATTTGTACCTAAAAAAAATTAATACTCGAGGAAAAAAAAATTCATTCATATTTTTATTTTAATTTCATTAAATTCTGTTGATTCATATTAATTAATTTATCAATTACAAATTCGTTGAAATTAATTATTTATTAATTTACCAATTAATTTACTAATCAATTTACTAATTAATTTAATAATTAATTAATAATAAATAATTTATTAATTAATATTCTTAATTAATTAATTAATTAATTATTATTAATTAATTATTAATTGATAATTAAAATAATTAATAATAAGTAATTTCTCATTTAGGATTCCTGAAAGCCGGTGGAAGTAAATTTTGCTGTTGGAGAAAAATTGAACGACCCAGGGTTAAATTAAATTTTTCGGCCGAATTTTTAATCTTCATAAACGTCATATTCCAGTGTCAACAAAAATTGTGATAATTTTGTGAAAGTCCCAAGTAATTTCATTCTTCAAGGTGAAAGAAAAATTTGTACATTTTTTTTTAACTATTTATCATTGCTACACATTTTTTTTTATAAAAATTTTCGTCTTTTGACTAAAAAAAAACAAATAAACTGTGAATAAATATTCAGTCACAAAAAAATTGCTTACACTTTTATCAAGAACTTTGATTTAATTAAATTATTATTAATGATTAAAAACATATTTGAATATTTAAATTTTTAGGTTAAATAATTATTTTGTCGTATTTACAAATTTCAACGAATTTGTTTAACTAACCGAGATAAAATTAATTGGAAAATTGAACAAATCTGATAAAAAAATTTAAATTTAATTACAGTTTCGTGATTTTATTTATATTTTTTTTTTTTTTGGGAAGGAAAAATATTTTTATTGTCAATAATTGAGAATTTAATTGATTTGAGAATTTTGAATTTAATCAATTTGGAAATTTAAAATTAAATTCAGATAAAATTTAGTTATTTCAATTTAATTTATTCGATGATTTCACATTGTTTTAATAGAATAATTAACCTAATTAAATTACATTATGTATTAAAAATTTTGGTATTAATTTTAATATCAATTATATTTTAATGTAAATTATTATTCATATAATTATTTACATACTTAGATTTGATTATTAAATATTCACAATTTTGATATTAAATATATTTTGATATAAATTATTATTTACATAATTATTTGTTACTTAATTTAAATTTAACGTAATTATTAATTTTTCCAATTTTTGGTTTATTATTCATTATTCTTTATTATTTATTTCAAAATATTTGGATATAAATTATTATTTACATACTTATAATTTTATTAAATTAAATCGAATTGAATTAAATTGAATTAATTTGGATTAAATTGAATTGAATTAAATTGAATTAAAAAGAATAAAATTGAATTAAATTGAATTAGATTGAATTAAATTGAATCAAATTGAACTGAAAAATTAAGAATAATTTATTAAAATTCAGCGATTTTTTTCTGTTATTCAATATTTGCGACGATAACATATTTTATTAGAATGGATGAATTTGCTTGTATATCCTTGAGGATATTAAAAGAAATCAACTGATGAATCGATGGTGGAATCAAATGTCGTGGAATAGTTATTGTCGAGGGTGTGGAAGTGAAAAAGGTCACTTATCCTTTTCCATCTGTAATTAAAATCGTAATGAGATAAATCTCCTGTGCTACACGGAACATCTGATTTTATACACATTTATTTACATGACGATTCAAGTATCACATCAAATTTCCAATCGTTCAGAAACAAAATTTACTATTCTATCATTTTCTTTAAAAAAATTTACCAAAGCAATGAATAAAATTTACACCCGCAAGAAATTATTTTATCAGTCCTCATAAACTCTCATTGCAAATAGAATTTCCATTACATTTATTAAATATTTTTTTTTACGAGGAAAGAAATTCTAAAAATTCTAAAAAAGAAAATTTCAATGGTGATAAACATAATTTAATGGTATTAATATTAAACAAAATTTAATGGTATTGATATTTAATAAAATTTAATAATATTAATTTTAATTAATTAATTTTATATTTCTTGCAAATGAAAAATAAACTAAATTTCATAATATTAATAAATAAAAAAAATTAATAATAATAATAATGATAATATTAAACAAAATTCAACAATATTAATATTTTATTTAAATATACAAAAATTAACTCCAGACGTAGAAAGGAATGTGAAATTTTTACAAATTTAAAAAAAATCGGTAATAAATAATTATCTATTGTGTATTAATAATTAATATTCAAGTGTTTTAATTTTTTTTTAAAAACTTGTAGGATATTCAATAAAATTTTTAAACATCAAATTTTAAAGTCATTTAATAGCAATTCTTAATTATAATCTGAATTACTATAAACTTTAATGATATATCTTTAAATGAAAATTTAAAAATTATAATTAATGGAAATTAGTTTTAAAAAATCTATATCATGATTTTATTTAAAAAATAATTCTTATAATTTTTCCAGTAAAATTTTTTAAAATTCACCTTCAATTCAAAATTCATTCAAAATTCAATTTTCAATATTTTCTATTCATATTTCCGAATATTCAAATATTTACAAAAACTAATTAAATTGAATTATTTCTAAAAATCTAATTAGGAAAAAAAATTAAAATCTAATTAATTTTTTTTTTTTAATTTGATTTTTAATTAATGATTTATTTAATGATTTAATGATTTTTTAAATTAATGATTCAATAAATAAATGAATAAATAAAAATTTTGTAGAAAACAATCATTTTAAAAATAAGTTTTAATTTAAATTCTTCAAAACAATGGATTAGTTTTAAAACTTTGTTAATAAAATTATTTTTTTAGAAATCAGGACGAACGTAGAAAAAAACTAAAATATAAAAGATTTACAATCGAAAGTTTGGTTATTTAAAATTAATAACAAAAATTATTATTTATATGTTTTGGTATTAAAATAAGTAGGAAAATAAACAGAACAAAAGATTTGGGAGAAAAAGTGAAAAATAGAGTTAATAAAAAGTTTGAGTCAAGAAAATCAATTATGATTAAAAATTTATGAAATTTTATTTTATTTATTTTATTTTTAGTTGAAATTGAGACTAAAGTAGGTAAATAAAAATTTGGTGAAGAGTATTTTCAAGAAAAATGGTAATTTATTCTAAGCGTCATTTAAAAATAAACTTTAGCGTGTTTGTAGTCAGTGAAAAAAATATAAAATACTTTCTAAAAACGAGAGAGAAATAAAGGGTTTAATAAATGCACTTTGGCTAATTGTTTTGATGATTTTGACTTTTTCACCTGTTATGTTTATTTGACAATTAAATGTATATATATACGCGGTTACAGCAAATCAAGTCACATTACTAAATTTTTTTTCCATTCGTCTCATTTAGTAATCAACGTGTTGTAATAATTTCGTATGACATAACGCTCATCGTATAATAAATTTACCCACATCACCATTTTACAAAAGTTCATCTTTTTTTTTCCTTCTCTTTTATTTCAATCGTGATTATTCCTTTTTTTTTCATTTTTTCTCGAAATTCTCTTTTTTTAAATGAAGACGGCACTTATTTATTATTAAGTCTTTGTACCTATATTATGAAGATGTAATTTCATTGGGATGCGCGCGGTTAAGAAAATGTCATTCCCTATCCGATTGAGTCGTAAATGATATAAATTAGATTTTTTCTTCTTTCCTCTTTGAATATATCGATTATCGTGCGGATATTCGACGTCTATTTATAATGTGTCTCTCTTTCGTTTTTTGAAAAAATTAAAAAAAAAAATATCTGATTGGGGTTGAATATTATTGTCCGTTGAATCGTGATGACCCGATGACACTCGCTTTTCATTCTCTGGTGAGCGATATTAGATTTGTGATTATTCGCAATGTCCTTCTCTCTCTCTCTCTTGTTCAGTGGAGAAAAGTTCATCATTGTCTCATCAATCTCATCAATATGTCGATTTGGTTAAAAAAAATTTGATTTTTTTCCCTCTTTTCCCACAGGAGAGAAAACGGATAATTCCGATGTAATCCGTTAAATCCGGTTGTCATCTCTATTATGGCGAATCTTATTATTATGCATTGTAATTCACTGCAGGAACTAGTCGAATCCAGAAGTAATTACTTTAATCAGATGGACATTTGGATTCTGAATCTGTTCCTGCAGTGAATTTTTTTCTGAGGGAAATTTCTGGTAATTTTTTTTCAATTTCACAAATTGCGTTTCGTAATTTTTTTTCGACATTTCTTTTTTCTATTTTTTTCTTTTATTTTCTTACAATCAATTTTTACAATCATTTTTTTATCATCATTCTTTTTTGTAGGTAATTTTTTTCAATCATTTTTTACAATCTTTTTTTCTTTTTTCCTGCAATCAATTTTTACAATCATTTTTCTTAATTTTCTTACAATCAATTTTTACAATAATTTTTGTATCATTCTTTTTTGTAGGCACTGCTTTTCAATCATTTTTTTACAATCATTTTTCTTAATTTTCTTACAATCAATTTTTACAATAATTTTTGTATCATTCTTTTTTGTAGGCACTGCTTTTCAATCATTTTTTTACAATCATTTTTTTTTATTACAATCAATTTTTACAATCATTTTTCTTTATTTTCTTACAAACAATTTTTACAATCTTTTTTTTTTACTTTCTTACAATCAATTTTTACCAGGAACCGTTTTTTTACATTCTTTTTTGTACTTTTTTCCAATAATTTTTTGCAATCAATTTTTTTCCTATTTTCTTACGATCAATTTTTACAATCATTTTTCTTTATTTTCTTACAAACAATTTTTACAATTATTTTTCTATACTACCTTATAATCAATTTTTACAATAATTTTCTTTCGCCATTTTTGTATTTAATTTTTGAATCAATTTTTACAATCATTTTTCTTTATTTTCTTACAAACAATTTTTACAATCTTTCTTCTTTATTTTCTTACAATCATTGTTTTCATATTTTTTACAACCAATTTTTACAACGGTTTTTTTTTACATTCTTTTTTGTACTTTTTTCCAATAATTTTTTAAAGTCAATTTTTTTTTCTTACAAACAATTTTTGCAAAAATTTTTTCTTCATTTTCTTACAATCATCTTTTACAATAATTCTTTTCTTATTTTCTTACAATTAATTTTTACAACCGTTTTTTTCGACATTCTTTTTTGTATTTTTTCCAATAATTTTTTACAATCAATTTTTTTCTTATTTTCTTACGATCAATTTTTACAATAATTTTTCTTTATTTTCTTAGATACAATTTTTACAATTATTTTTCTTAACTTTTAAACAATCAATTTTTACAATAATTTTTATTCGACATTTTTGTGTTTAATTTTTTTAATCACGTTTTACAAGCATTGTTTTTCTTATTTTCTTACAATCAATTTAAAATTTTTATTAATTATTTTATTAACCATTTTTTAAATATCCTATAACAATCATTTTTTGGCAATCATTTTTTTTTTGAAGGATATTTTGAAAATTATTAATTAAAAAAAATAAATTTCTTTCAGAGAAGAATTTCTAAAAAAAAAAT